GACAAAATGATGTGCAATATTTTGTGTTCATCAGTGGCAGTCTCTGAGGCAACCAAATAGACAGTTTTGCTCAAAACATTTCTTATGGATTTAGAAGTGGTATCTTATATACGATCGACTATTACACTTTACTACAACAATCGTGGAGCAATTGCTAACTCAATTNAACCAAATAGACAGTTTTGCTCAAAACATTTCTTATGGATTTAGAAGTGGTATCTTCAATACGATCGACTATTACACTTTACTACAACAATCGTGGAGCAATTGCTAACTCAATTGAGTCACGAACCTATAAGAAGGGAAAACACATTGAGCGTAAGTATCACTTTATTCGAGACATCGTGGGAAGAGGTGATGTACTAGTGACCAAAATTGCATCAACAAATAATCTGGCAGATCCCTTCACGAAGAACTTACCGGTAAATACTTTTGATAGCTGTGTGGCAAGAATGAGAGTTGGATGTATAGCNAACACATTGAGCGTAAGTATCACTTTATTCGAGACATCGTGGGAAGAGGTGATGTACTAGTGACCAAAATTGCATCAACAAATAATCTGGCAGATCCCTTCATGAAGAACTTACCGGTAAATACTTTTGATAGCTGTGTGGCAAGAATGATAGTTGGATGTATAACAACATGACTTTGAATACAAGTGGGAGAATTGATAGAGTTATATACTAAAAACTCATTTTTTGTAGTGAAATTCAGTTTATTATTTAATAAAAGTACTTCGTTTTCTATCTATGAAGCACGGATACGGATACGATACGATACGGGTACGGGGATACGGCAAACCAAAAAAAATAGGATATGGGTACGGCTNATAACAACATGACTTTGAATACAAGTGGGAGAATTGATAGAGTTATATACTAAAAACTCATTTTTTGTAGTGAAATTCAGTTTATTATTTAATAAAAGTACTTCGTTTTCTATCTATGAAGCACGGATACGGATACGATACGATACGGGTACGGGGATACAGCAAAACCAAAAAAAATAGGATACGGGTACGGCTAGGATAAGTCCATAAAATATATATTTTTTAAAATTTTATTATTATATTTAATGTAATAATTATGATTTATAAAGTAAATCACACTTCTATCAAAGATATATAATAATAACTAATCATCAGAGTCAGTCGATCGTCAGTGTGAGTGAGTGAGAGTGAGAGAGAGACGATCGTCGTCGAGTGTCGACTGAAGGGAGTGGGGGGCTTGATGGGCTGTGGAAAAAAAGTGTACAGGTTTTAGTCTTTTTAACTTTTATTTTAATAATATATTTTTTTTTTGCAAATAAGGGCCTAAATATATTGCTCTTGTGCCCCTATACTTTTTTAAAATTCGAGTAATACTCCGTCGTATCCTTATGCGTATCCTAGGCGTATCCCACGCGTATCCAAAACGTATCCGACCGTATCCGAAAATCAATTTTTTTTTAATTTTAGGATACTTCTCAGATCCGACGCGTATCCGTATCCAAAAGTATCCGATACGGATACTTTGACCCTTTTGAAGTATCCGTGCTTCATAGTTTTCTATTTAGAATCCATATGAGTAAAATATTTGCATTATACTAAATATATGATATGAATGTGTGTCTTTTATTTTATATCATTGATAATTTGGTGTGTAGAGTTCGAATTATAGAAGATCAAATTATCGAATGCTTGTATGATATGAGTAAAAGTTCATAGTCTTAGATGGAATTGGACACACCATCAATAAGATTGTAATGTAATCTTCTGGCATAATTTGTTTTGGCTATAAGAGACTATTTGATGTCTTAGATTGTTATACTAGTACACTTATGAATTAAACATGACTGTTACTGAGGTTATTACATTTGTACTGACTAAATAAGAAAATAAATACCTTATGATTATTATGATTGTTTAAACTCTTAATCCTGTGATATTTAATGGACATATGCATATAATGATTATTACTTTAATTCATCACATAGTGAAATTCATTTGAGTCAACAAACTGGGTGAATTGAGAGATGACATTATTTTTATGCTGAAAAATAATTATTACAGAAAATCATGTCTCGGTATTTAAAAGGGTTGATGATATCTTTTTGAGAAAACTCGTAAGTTTTGTTCATGTTTAACCTTGCAAGTTGATTTAATTATCAGACATGACAAATAAGTTGAGTGATAAGATCTCAAAGATAAAAAGAAGTCAATTGAATATAATTGTTAGTAATTAAATTAATTAATGGATATCTATAATCTTAAACATGAAGAGATTATTAAGAATATAATACAAGAATCTCGAAATATATTTTTGAGATAAGGCCCGAGAGATCAATAATAAATTTTTAGTGGACTAACTTATTATTAATGGATTATAGAATATTTGTTTTAGGTTGAATATAGAATTCCTAGGCCCATTGGAGACTCGACCCTTATTTCTCCTTAGGGTCTCTATTGTAGCCTCTAAATACACTCACTCTCTGGTTTTCTCACCTACACCTTTAAAATTCGGAGGATTGCAACNTAATAAATTTTTAGTGGACTAACTTATTATTAATGGATTATAGAATATTTGTTTTAGGTTGAATATAGAATTCCTAGGCCCATTGGAGACTTGACCCTTATTTCTCCTTAGGGTCTCTATTGTAGCCTCTAAATACACTCACTCTCTAGTTTTCTCACCTACACCTTTAAAATTCGGAGGATTGCAGCCCACATTGTATTCGGATTAAGGCAGTATCAAAACAACATTCTAAAGGAGAAGCACAAAGTTGCATCATTTTGGAGGGAAATTGTAAACCCCACCCTTTCATCTTTATATATGTATGTAGGTTTATGTAGTAAGTTATTATTTCTTTAGGAATGTTAATATGAAAATTCGAGGAAATAGTAGTTAAAACTTAGNGTATTCGGATTAAGGCAGTATCAAAACAACATTCTAAAGGAGAAGCACAAAGTTGCATCATTTTGGAGGGAAATTGTAAACCCCACCCTTTCATCTTTATATATGTATGTAGGTTTATGTAGTAAGTTATTATTTCTTTAGGAATGTTAATATGGAAATTCGAGGAAACGGTAGTTAAAACTTCGNTGCAGCCCACATTGTATTCGGATTAAGGCAGTATCAAAACAACATTCTAAAGGAGAAGCACAAAGTTGCATCATTTTGGAGGGAAATTGTAAACCCCACCCTTTCATCTTTATATATGTATGTAGGTTTATGTAGTAAGTTATTATTTCTTTAGGAATGTTAATATGAAAATTCGAGGAAATAGTAGTTAAAACTTAGTTTAGATTGCAAATATATGAAATCGTTGTAATAGAAGTTGTACCAACTAGGTTTGATATACAAAAGCATGTTAGATAAGCTTCAGTTGGATTTGGAAAGGTTTGGAATGAGTTTGAAATAAAAAATAGAGTAAATAGGAAAATTTGGACAGGACCTACCAGGAGTACGCTATCCAGTGGATCCAAACTATCGATAGTCAACAGGTAGTAAAGGTCTAGTAGATCCAAACTACCAGTAGCTCAATAGGTAGTATGCTGTCCCGTAGATCCGAACTACCGATAGCCCGATACAAACTCTCGATAGACCGTTAAAAAGTCAGGATTTTTATGTTTTAAAATCTCAATTTCACTACATTTACTCTCATTCTTTCAGACCACTCTCACTCCACACCTCTTAGAACCCTAATAGGAAGACTTAGAAAGGAAGAAAGAAGGGAAGAACAAGAGTATTAAAAGGGATTAAAGATCAAATCTAGCTTCTCCAAAAACATCAAGGTATGGGGTTTTCTTCCATTCTTGTTCATTAATGCTAGGGCTAATATATATGTATTCTTTGACTTTAAATCTTATATATTTGCTATGAAATTATCTTTTCTTGGTCTTCTTGCAATTATTATCATGTTTTACACAAGTTAGGGTTGAATACCCATGAAATCTCTTGTTCTTGCTTTAAAAATCCTAATTTTTGGGGAAATATGGGTTTCTCCCTCTACATTCACTTAAATTTAGTTTAGAAAATTTTAGTGCTTTGTGTTGAGTTCAAAAAATGATATTGATGATGATCTCTTGCATTTTCTTCACGTGCTCTATTGAAATACTACATATGAAATTGGAAATTTATGGAATTGTGTGTTATTTTAGAGTATTGTTGGTGATTGTATCTCATGGAGGTGTTTGGATGACCATGGGTGGCCGTAGATTGCGTATCGTAGAGTGAGTAGATGTGGTGGTTCTTACTCCGAGCGGTTTGAACTTTTTCNCTTCTAGTCTATTTTCAATTCTTAGTTAGTTTGCTTGCTACGAGGGAAATTGTTAAGTCTATGATTTTCAAGGCAAAAAAAAAGAGTATATAAGAAGTCTTAGGCTTCATTTCAATAGCCTACATAGTTATAATTTTAAAACCTCTTTGTTTCAATCGACTATACAGTTACGATTTCAGAACCTCATGCCAATTCGAATATGTAAGGTCATAAGTGTTTGAAATCAAAGTTTGTTTAGACTTTGACAAGCCCGCAATCCAAAATACACAAAACGGATACAAAACACAAACGTTATTTTTTATTTTATTATTTTTTCGCTTAAAAAAGTTTAAAAAAAAGTACTATAAAATAACGTTTGGTGCCTATGCTGCTATGCTTATCTCCAATGAAGTGGGAACTAGTTTTTTTTTTTTGAATAGATGTGAGAACTAGTTTATAAACAATGGAAAATACTATTTGAACATAAAATATTGAAATGTTTGTGATCAATTAAGTTAATATTTTATTTTCGAGTGACATTGGTCGTACACAATTGCCTTTTTCGGGGGTTAATACTAATTGCCAACCTATGCAAAAAAACAGGAGAGAAACAAAAATAACTTTGACAGCCTTTTCAGTACTTTTAACTTTATGTGCAAGGTGCATTGCATTGTCCTTGGCGCATTTTCAAGTTGCCGTGCCTACTTCTAGAGATAACTGACACTGACGAGGAGGAGGAGGAGGAGGAGACACCCAGGAACCTTATGGCGCTAGTGCCTACAGTTACTCAACCCGTCAATGAAGGACACTTGTTCGCGGAACTGGATATGGGTGCCGACTCCTCTGCCCCCACGGTCCGAGCAACCCTCGTTCAAGCTTCTACTGTCTTCTATGACACCCCTGCTACTCTAGGTTTGGTTCATTCGGTTCTTTCCCCTCTACTATTTACTCTTCCGTTGAATTCTTTTTTTCTGCTCAAATGTCCTCAATTTAATATCACCTATCTTCAACTTCTATTTGGTCAGAAGAGATGTGTGTTTGTATCATTGGGTTTTTTTTTGGAGGGCCGGGGGGAGGGGATTTTGAAGCAGTGGCTGTTGGAATAGTGGTTAATTCTTAACAACTCCTATCAGAGCCAGACACCATGTCACAAGCTCAGGGTCAAGAAAGGACGTCCAATACGCTGGATTAAAATGACTTGAAAGGAGTTGTTATGTATGCTCATAGTGTTACCTTATTGAATGCCAATAGCTGCGTAAAGCTGCCAAAAAAAAGAAAGGCATAAGACCGGTAGAAACTGATGGTAACATCTAGCCCATCAATTGGGTCTCAACAAAACAAGATATGCTTACAAATAGTTGTTAGCTTTAGTGCTTCAGTTCTTACCCTAAAAAGGAAGTTGCAAGGTTCTATTTAGTTTAGGACGTGTAAATTGCAAATATTGTAACTAAGCAGGGTTTTTTTCCTTTTTTTTTTCTGTTTTTTTTTTTTTTTT